TACAGAATACAGAAAATTATCTTCCACAGCAAGTGTTCAATGTGGACAAAACTGGGCTGTTCTGGAAAAAGATGCCCAAAAGAACATTCATCACCAGAGATGAAGCCTCTTTACCTGGGCATAAACCCATGAAAGACCGTCTCACTCTATTGCTTGGTGCCAATGCTTCAGGGGATTTCCGACTGAAGCCTATGCTTGTCTACCACTCTGAAAACCCCAGGGTGTTCAAGCAACAAAAAGTGGTAAGAGGACGGCTTGGAGTTTATTGGAAATCCAACCGTAAGGCATGGGTGACAACACAGTTCTTTAATGAATGGGCTGTTGAGGTGTTTTGCCCTTCTGTGAAGAGCTACCTAACCACCAAGAAACTCCCTTTAAAGGCTCTTCTCCTTCTGGATAATGCCCCTGGTCATGACCCCCAAGTTGCCAGAACTTTGGAGTATCAATTTGACTTTGTCAAAGTGTTGTTTTTGCCTCCCAACACGACATCAATCATACAGCCAATGGACCAGAATGTGATCAGCAACTTCAAGAAGTTGTCATGAAGAAAATGTTCAGGAGGTGTCATCAGGCAACTTCCACTGATCCTGAACTAACAATTGGCACAGTTCTGGAAGACAGAGTTTAACATCCTGGAGGCTGTAAAATTTATTGTGTCCTCATGGCAAGAAGTCTCCACTAGAACCCTCAATTCTTCATGGAAAGCACTGTGGCCATCAGTAGTCCATAATTTTGAGGGATTTCAGGATGAAACAGAGTTGGACCAGGAGATTGTGTCCATTGGTCAGTCATTGGGCCTTGAAGTGGAAGAGGATGATGTTGAAGAGCTTGTGATGTCTCGTGAGGAGGAACTTACTCCAGATGACTTGAAGCAACTGCATGAGATGCTAGAGGCTGACAGTGGTGAGGAGGAAACGGAAAGTGATGACCATATGTCTACTTCACATTTGAAAGATGTTGTTCACTACTGGGAGAAGTTCAGGAAACTGGCTTCAAGGCACCCAGACCAAAATAATATGTAAAGTACTTGAGAGTATTATCAGAGATGCCGCGATGGAACATCTACTACGAAACAACCTTGTAAAAGATTGCCAACACGGTTTTATGCCGGGGCGCTCTTGCTTAACACAATTGCTCAAGGTATTGGATATTTGGACCCATATTCTAGAACGGGGTGGTAATATCGACAATATTTACCTAGATTTTCCCAAGGCTTTCGACAGTGTACCCCACGAAAGGCTGTAAATCAAACTGGAAGGGTACGGAATTCGGGGAAATGTCCTAGCGTGGATAGAAGACTTTCTACATGACCGCAAGCAGTGTGTGGTGATTAATGGCACGAAATCGTCATCCGTACCTGTGACAAGCGGGGTACCACAGGGCAGTGTATTGGGCCCGCTGTTGTTTGTTTGTTTGTTTCATAAATGACATGCCTGACGTTGTACACTCCTCCATACAAATGTTTGCCGATGATGGCAAGTTATTTTGGGAAATCAAGAACCAAGCGGACTGTGAAGAGCTGCAGAAGGACCTCTGTGGGCTCCAGGAATGGTCGAAGAAATGGCTGCTGAGATTCAATGTCACGAAGTGTAAGAGGATGCACCTGGGGCGTACCAACGGTAAGGAGGCGTATCATATGTCCCAACGGGATGAAGAAAATGCACTAGTTGAGACTGTGTGTGAGAAGGACCTAGGTGTGTATGTTGACAATGAGCTGAAGTTCTCGGGCCATTGTGAGAAGAAGGTAAATCAGGCAAATAAATTATTGGGTCTTATAAGAAGGTCGTTCAGATATCTAGACGGTCCGTCCCTCGTGACGATCTTCAGGAGTGAAGTGCTTCCCCATCTGGAGTACTGTCACCCCATCTGGTCCCCGAGATATGCTAGGGACTGTCAGTTGGTTGAAAATGTTCAAAGGAGGGCCACCAAACTGGTGCCTGCACTTCGGCACCTCAGCTACCCTGAGAGATTGGAGCGCCTGAACTTGCCTAGCTTATACTACAGACGGGCAAGGGGGGACCTAGTTGAGGTGTATAAGCATCTCAGGGGGCACTACTCAGTTGAGTGTCCTTACTTGGAGCTGGCGGACGCTCGCCCCACAAGGGGTCACAGCTCAAGATTGAAGAAGCCGCAAGTCCAGAAAACCGTGAGGGCAAACTTTTTCGGAGTGAGGGTTGTAAACTCTTGGAACAATCTACCAGAGAGTGTTGTGACGGCACCGAGTGTGAGCTCTTTCAAGAGAAGACTTGACCAACACTGGAGCGGGTTCAGGTACATTCAGGAGCCGGTGCATGCCCAGTATTTGCCAACAGTGCGTGACAGAGACGTGACCGATCGCCCGGGCGGCTAGCGAGCCGATCTTTTGGTGAAGAATATAAATGAAAAGAGACGTAACCGATCGCCCAAGCGGCTAACAAGCCGATCAGTGGCGAAGAGGATAAAAGTAAAAGTAAAAGTATAAAAAAATTTCTGTGTTGTTTTTAGTTTTTATTAAACTTTATGTGTTATTTTTGTTGCTTAATTAGGATGTTGCGTTATTACAGGTAGTAATTCGCCCAAAAAGTAGGGTAAATAAGGCAAAATTTAGCCAAACATTGAAAGTACCAGACTCAAATTAATTTTCTCCACGGGCAAACTAAAATTGTTCCGGACCACAGGAGTTTCCGGACCACAGAATGCCGGACTAGAGAGGTAAAACAAATGTTAATTAAGAACTGCCCCAACAAGGCAGGTGGAGGCAGTTACAAGGTTCCTTGCAAGGAATGTAATATGTTCTACTAAGGCAAACGGGTAAAGATCTTATAACTAGACTTAAACATCATAAATATAGTGTTAGGACAGGCCAGTAATCCAATGTTTTGTTCATTCATATGAGAGATAATAAGTATTGCATTGACTGGGATAATGCCTCCTCAATATTACCTTGTAATTCAATTGTCAGGAGGAACATTATTGAATCTAGTCTCAGTAAACATACCAAATCTGTCAACACGAATAGAGGCGTCCCGCATCGTAAGGGTGACTCAGACCATCCAGACAAAACCCTTTTTTTGTTGGTAAGCACTATTTTCGGCCTAGCTCTAAATGGTGGTAGTTGATATAATCTCCTTACTACTCTGTAAATAAGGTTGAAAGCCCTTTGAAAATAGGGTAGAACATCGATTTGTGGCAGACAGGATATTATGGGCTCGGCTTTTGCGTCGTCGGGTGCTCTCATCCAGTCAGTGAGTGAGTGAGAGGAGCAGGCGGCCAATCACGGCGACCGGCCTACGGCCTCCTCCCCCGTCTCGGCCAATGACAATGAGCGTCTATGTCACGGCCCCTCCGGCCAATGAGGCGGAATCCCTCTTTCCCTTTCCCTCGGTTCTCTTTTATTGTGGCGGGATCTACGCTCTGATATTGATTAAAGTAAAAACCCATAAGCGGGTGGGAGTTTTGTTGCTTCAGTCAACATTGCAACAACCCAGTACATTACTTCATGATGCGTTACCTACCATCTGCAAGTACAGTCCTTTAGCTTCAAAATGCATAAAAAATTAATGCTTTATCTCTAAAAACAACAAAGTTATACACGTTTGAAGTTGGAAAACTTTAAACGCGGTTTTCTCGGTTTCAAAATTTGGTGCGAATAGCCCATACGATGCGGGGTGCCTCAGTTTGTGATTAACAAGATTTGTAAGCAGATGAAAGTGTTGGGTCACGACCTTATGACCTGAATGTGGTGGACACCTGCTGTCCCTAGGGCAGGGGTGGCGAACGTTTTTGAGAGCGTGTGCCCAAATTGGCGATAATATGCTGAAAAATTCACTCGTGTCCCCGTAGGAATTTTGAGCAGATTATTATTATTATTATTATTATTATTATTATTATTATTATTATTATTATTATTATTATTATTATTATTATTGTTATTAATATTATTATTATTATTATTATTATTATTATTATTATTATTATTATTATTATTATTATTATTATTATTATTATTATTATTATTATTATCATTATTAAAATATTGGTATTTTACAAAAAAATTACCGAGAAAGACAACAAAACGCTTGAAAGCTTTCTTAGAGAAATCTGTTTAGGCAACCAGTAACTCTTCTGAATTGTTTTAAAAGGGACACCTTAAGGAATTACATGTATTTATAACTAGTAATTCACAAGAGATAAAATTAATGAATTACGTGATAATAATAATGGACCTTCATTTTAGAAGAAAGGAGGAGTCCCGTTGATTATTTACGTGTATTCATTTTTTTACTATTAACAAAAGTATAACAGAGATAGATTGAAATAAATGAAAGCATTTTAGAAAAAGCCTGTTCAAAAAATAATTAATATCAATGTTTTTAAAAAGACAACTGAAAAATAACATCATTTATAAATAGAACTGAACCTTATAACCAATATATGAAATGTGACAGTGAAATGAAAAGCTTTGGTTCATATTATAAAACAAAACAAAAATCAAGGAAAGGAAAATAAGCAAATTTTACTCTGAGTGAGACTTTTGCTGCTGCACCAACAGATATTTTATATCAGGCTTGTATTTGGTTGTGAAGAGAGCTATCATTACCCCAATACTGATGTGTACACTGGGTCGGCAGGGATTTAAAAACGTGTCATCCGAAGTAAAGTGTTCCAGCAACCACCCAGCTGGCTCCCAGCGAGACACTGGAGCACCTTAGATTTTTTCTTTATTCAAGACATCTTCAGAGGCAACTCAATTTGCAGGGACTGCGAGAGGCTTATATACGATGGGTGACCTTACATAACATCAGGTCAGGTCAATAACATGGGCTCTACTAATCCACACACCACCTCCACCACAAACAAACGAATAGCTTATAAAAACTGGGGGACATAACAAGTCAAGTCAAAAACATGAGACCCACTAATCATCTACCCTACATCCACCTCAAAAGCTTTCAAAGCATTTTTAACCTTAGGCCACTGACAAATAAATTGATGTAACATATTATCAGTTTTGTACTGACCATCACTGAGGTTTATGAAGTCCGTAGATCTCTGGCAATACTTATGGCATTAATCACCTGCTGCGTTATGTTAGGTACAATTTGATCACTCTGCTGTAGGTCCACAATCTCACTGAAGGCTGATGCTGACAGAGGGCTGTTAAGGAGGTAAACATTGGAATATTAGTACCTAGATTATGTTACACTTTATGTCAATAAAAGTTCAGAGAACCCGACGAGAGAGACTGCAAGAGACCCACGGAGAGCTACCGTCGGGTAATCACGGCTAACCCGCACAATCGTGGAAAATGGCCGAAAAATGCTGTTGCTCAAGAGGGCAGTGACTGATCTAGCAAAAAGTATTACATCAATTTACTGGACAAACACTCGGGCAGGCTTATTCTACGTAAAAAAAGACCATCCTCATTGAGAACAAGAAGCTTATACGTACAATATTTCTTTTAATATCAATCTGAGATGGTCACACACAACTATGAAATGGAACAAACTAAGAAACAAATCTACATAATTCTGTGATATTGAACAAATGTTTTACATCTAAGGGTGTTTAAAATGACATTATTTAGGAACTTGAGCCATCCTGGATAGTGAACAGACACACATTTGAAAGTGGATCATTCAAAGGTTTTTTACTTACTAAACACAAGCAACAATGTACAGTGTTCTGGTATACCATAAAAAAAGTTGGTCATGTCGTAGTCAACACACCTACCGGGTACATCAACAGCTACAGTAATACTGCTTCATGGTTGCACATGTTAACCAGCAACCTGTGCCAATTTTTCTGTAAATGCTTTCTTACCTCATGAAAAGCCGAAAAATGGGAAGGGATAAGTTGGATGTTTTTCACCTTGATTTTACCTGGTGATTTAAAATTAAAGCTCCTCCTCGTTTACCATTGTCAAAATCCCTAAACACTGAAACTCATTAATAAAGTCTCTGCTAATTGTGTGGAAAAGTGATGCACAGATTTTTATCATCACTTACTTTCCCAGAGTCAACAGCATTAAAGGAACCACTGCCATCACCTCCAGCTCCTGGGAGTTACTGGAGTGAGCTAGTGTCATCACCAGAGGTCCAGGAAATCTCCTCAGAGTGTGACAAGTCACCTCCATCCTCCCCAATGTAACCAGTCATCACCCACACCAACTAACAGTAAGCAAAGCAACAACAGTTGTATGGACACCTTTATTGTAGGTGAAAGTTTAATATAACCAAAGTTTTCCGAGGCAGTTCCTGTGATGTATTGTAGTGTGCTGTACTGTGCTGTGCTGTACAGTGCTGTGCTGTGCTGTACTGTGTTGTAATGTACTGTACTGTACTGTAGAGGATGTCTCCACTTAATGCTGTATGTGTTTTCCTCACAAGTACTGTACTGTACTGTTCTGTACTGTAGAAGGAGTCTCCACTTAATGCTGTATGTGTGTTCCTCACAAGTACTGTGCTGTACTGTACTGTACTGTAGGAGTCTCCACTTAATGCTGTATGTGTTTTCCTCACAAGTACTGTACTATACTGTAGAAGGAGTCTCCACTTAATGCTGTATGTGTTTTTCTCACAAGTACTGTACTGTACTGTAGAAGGAGTCTCTACATAATGCTGATGTGTGTTCCTCACAAGTACTGTTCTGTACTGTAGAAGGAGTCTCCACTTAATGCTGTATGTGTGTTCCTCACAAGTACTGTACTGTACTGTAGAAGGAGTCTCCACTTAATGCTGTATGTGTGTTCCTCACAAGTACTGTGCTGTACTGTACTGTACTGTAGGAGTCTCCACTTAATGCTGTATGTGTGTTCCTCACAAGTACTGTACTGTACTGTAGAAGTAGTCTCCACTTAATGCTGTATGTGTGTTCCTCACAAGTACTGTACTGTACTGTAGGCCGAGTCTCTACATAATGCTGATGTGTGTTCCTCACAAGTACTGTTCTGTACTGTAGAAGGAGTCTCCACTTAATGCTGTATGTGTGTCTCCTCAAGGCACTGTACTGCACTGTAGAAGGAGTCTCCACTTAATGCTGTATGTGTGTTTTCCCCAAGGCATCAGCCAGCCGTAGAAGGAGTCTCCACATAATGCTGTATGTGTGTTCTCACAAGTACTGTTCTGGTACTGCAGTAGCTGAGTCTCCACTTAATGCTGTGTGTGTGTTCCTCATAAGTACTGTACTGTACTGTAGAGTCTCCACTTAATGCTGTATGTGTTCCCTCACAAGTACTGTACTGTACTGTAGAAGGAGTCTCTCTTAATGCTGTATGTGTGTTCCTGGCTAGCACTGTACCTGTACCAGAAGGAGTCTCCACTTAATGCTGTATGTGTTCCTCACAAGTACTGTACTGTACTGTAGAAGGAGTCTCCTTAATGCTGTATGTGTGTTCCCTCACAAGTACTGTACTATACTGTAGAAGGAGTCTCCACTAATGCTGTATGTGTTCCTCACAAGTACTGTACTGTACTGTAGAAGGAGTCTCCACTTAATGCTGTATAAAAAATTCCTCACAAGTACCTTATCAAATTGCAGAAGGAGTCTCCTCTTAATGCTGCATGTGTGTTCCTCACAAGTACTGTAATTGCACTGTAGAAGGAGCCTCCCCATCGCCAGGCGTGGGAAACCTCACAAGTACTGTACTTTACTGTAGAAGGAGTCTCCACTTAATGCTGTATGTGTGTTCCTCACAAGTACTGTACTGTACTGTACTGTACTGTAGAAGGAGTCTCCACTTAATGCTGTATGTGTGTTCCTCACAAGTACTGTACTGTACTGTAGAAGGAGTCTCCTCTTAATGCTGTATGTGTGTTCCTCACAAGTACTGTACTGTACTGTAGAAGGAGTCTCCTCTTAATGCTGTATGTGTGTTCCTCACAAGTACTGTGCTGTACTGTACTGTAGAAGGAGTCTCCACTTAATGCTGTATGTGTGTTCCTCACAAGTACAACTTTTAACATAATGACACTAAACGAATCCATTTTTCCCATAAGAAATAATGTAAATAGTGGAGTTAGGTTCCTGGACAAATTTATCACCAGATAAAACATGTGAAAAACTAACTAACTTTGGGTACAGTACTTGGGCTGATGTTTTGTACACAAACTCTTAAAAAACATGAAATTCCTACTGTAGTATTGTGATTATAATTAATTACCATTTGTGCTTAATAAAAAACAATGGTTATTTTAGGAAGAGGGTCAGGAGGAGGAGGAGGCCATATTACTTATAAAATAACAACAAATAAGCTATTTACAAGTGACTCTTAATAGGCAGGAATATATTGACTTTTTTACAAGGTTAAGTTACCATAAACAATATTATTGTAGTACCTTAAATTTGCTCTTTTAAATTATAGTCATTTTTTAATACAAAATGTCACGGTGGGGATTATCCTAAAATGAGTGAGGATAATAACCATTTTAAACCCCACCATGGATTATCACCCAGCCCTAAACTGCTCTTCATATTTGTTGATCTATTTCCCCAATGAAAAGATCAAAGTTTAATATGAAACTTTAAATGTCACAGCAGACATGAATATTGAGACTCTTCCTCTTAGTTTAGTTCATTTTCACTTTTCAGGAGAACCGCTCTTGTTGCTTATACATTTATTTTGACCTATTTACAGCCTAGCTCCCATATTTAAAGAAAAGTTGTCAAGTGATGCGGCAGTAAGAGACAACTTTACGCGTTGCTGGATCTCGCCGGCTCAACGTTTATACCCGACCTTCAGGTTACACCAATCACAGTAAACCCCAGATTTACACAGGAGCAAAATTTTTCCTGAGAATTATCGCAAACGACTTAATTATGGCATCCAAATACAACACGTGTCCTGCGTTGAACGACCGTGGAGACGTAATTCTGCATTATTTCCTGCAACAAGTCTCCTCACTACCCTTTTACATTGTATTAATAAGGTAAGTTAACAATAGGAATAAGACTTTTCAGAGTTAGGTGAGATACACAAATGTTGGTAAGGATAGGATAGGTAAGTTAGGTAGGTTTTATTAAGTACATAAGAATGGAGGAAACTGCCTATTGTCTTGGTTTAAGATTCCTACTTATCATTACACCTAAATAGTTATCACAGTCGGATTTCTCTATAACAACAATGTTCATCTGATATCTGGTTTAACTGTGTACAGTACTTTACACGTGTTAGGTTAGGTTAGCTTAGGTACCTTAGCTTAGGTACGTTAGGTTAAGTTGGGTAGGTTTGGTTAGGTTAAATTGGGTAGGTTTGGTTAGGGTATGTACTGTACGTTTGGTTAAGTTAGGTTAGGTTAGGTTAGGTTGGTTCCTTTGGTATGATAATTGGGGTTTTTATGTTTTTTGGTGTTGTACTCAAATCTCACCTCCATTTTTGTACAAATTAACAGTTTGTTAAAAATAAAAATGTTAATTTTTCACAAAAAATACTAATTTACACAAGACATGAAGGTCAGAGTTGAGTAAAACACCAAAACCTGAGGACAGCCAATGGACGAATATTTACCTTTAATTATAAGCAGTGTATATTTGGCTGTGACCGGCTAAGTTCCTACTAAAGCCATTTTACTGTTACTGCGCGCTGATTGGTTAATTGTCCATTACCGGCGAACAACGCGAGAACTGTGTTTGACCGCGACTCTGACGGCTTTTGGTATATATTTTGCCGTGAGTCGATCGTTGTGTACCTAACCATATTTATGTTATGCATGGAAACTTATCATTATAAAAGAGGCGACATTTACTAGAACTTAACCTAACCAACCAAAGAAACCAACCTAACCTAACCAACCAACCAAAGAAACCTACCTAACCTAACCAACAAAAGAAACCTACCATAACCTAACCAACCAACCAAAGAAACCTACCTAACCTAACCTAACCAACCAAAGAAACCTACCTAACCTAACCAACCAAAGAAACCTACCTACCCTAACCAACCAAAGAAACCTACCTAACATAACCAACCAAAGAAACCTATCTAACCAACCAGAGAAACCTACCTGACCAACCAGAGAAACCTACCTAACCTAACCAACCAAAGAAAACTACCAAACCTAACCAACGAAAGAAACATACCTAACCTAACCAACCAAAGAAACCTACCTAACCTAACCAAACAAAGAAACCTACCTAACCAACCAAAGAAAACTACCTAA